GGCTCAGGGGGCTCAGGGGGTTCAGGAGGCTCAGGGGGCTCAGGGGGCTCAGGGGGCTCAGGGGGTTCAGGAGGCTCAGGGGGTTCAGCAGCTTTCCTTGGAAAGCTGAGCCAGGCCCGCAGCCCAGGGAGCTCAGGCTGCCTGAACAGAGCACAGAAATCCCGAAGCTTGAGTGAGCTGGAAGTCACTGCCAATAGAAAGAAGGACAGAGAATCGAGCCTTTGGGCACAGGAGGATCTGGGCAGCGATGCGGGGAAGCCAGGCAGGAATTTCTCTCTGGGGAGAGGAGCTGGGAAGAATTTGGGTGCTCCTACCACCCCCAGGCATGGAACTGTGCTTGGGGAAAGACCCCAGTGTGGAGATGGTGGGCACGGGCTGGGAGGGGAGCAGGGTCCAATAGCTGCTGTGCCTGGCAGCAAGGGGCAGTGCTGGCATCTGCCCTCCCGTGCCACAGGAAGGACCCGGCCTGCAGCCAGGCAGTTCCTGCAGCCCAGGGCTGAGGCCACATTGCTCTGATGTCCAACGTGCAGCTCCCACAAGCCCTGGAGGTCAGAGCTGCTGAGTGCAGGGACACCCTGAGCCCACCCTGAGCCTCCCCAGGCACTCCCAGCCCAGAGACAGCGGATGGACAGACAAACCCGAAGCTGTCTGCCTTGGAGGTGCCAATATAGACCCTCCCAGATGTTCCATCAGTTCCATAAACACCTCCATATACTTTTTGGCCACTGCAAAGCAGCAGGAGAGCAGAGATTTGTCCCTTCCCCTTCTCCCTGTCATCTCACTGTTTGCAGATCGCATGACTGGGCCAAGCTCACCATCTTCATCAGGATTGTTCAGCACTTGGTGAACCGTCCTTGCTCTGGGGTCCCACAGGATGGGCCCAGATTTGCAACCCCCCTCTGTCCCAGCCCCCCTTTTCTCTCTCACGGGGAAGCGTTTCCCAGCAGTGGAGTGCCAGCTCCCAGCCCAACGAGAGAAAACCTGACAAAAGCAAAGGCCAAAGCCCTTCAGCCTCCCGGATCCACTCCAGGGTGCACATTTCACAGGCTACGTCACTGGCAGAGAGGTTTGGAGGGGTTTGTCACCCACGGCGAGTGATGATGCAGCGGTGGGGGAGGATTTGACGCAGGGAGAGAGAAGAAAGCCGGGGTCTGAGAGCCTGTCACCACAAACACTGCGCAGACAATGAGGATGCTGGGATGCCAGGAAGACAGAGCTTGCTCAACCTGTTGGCGAGTTTACTATCTCCACGTGGTAGTGAGGAGGGATGAGGCCTTAAGACACGGGCAGGGCCATCAGCCACCCTGTTTGTGCATTGCCTGGAGATCCCTGGCTCCTGGATCAGACAGGATCGGGGCTGAGCTGTGCGACAGCCGCAGGCCAAGGGACAGCCTGGACTGGCTGGCGTGGGAGCCCCCGGGATCCCGGCCCTGCTGGGGCAGCACTGAGGCCAGCGGGATGTGCCCGGTAGCACCGAGGACAGCGGGATGTGCCGGTAGCACCGAGGACAGAGGGATGTGCCCGGTAGCACCGAGGCCAGCGGGATGTGCCGGTAGCACCGAGGACAGCGGGATGTGCCGGTAGCACCGAGGACAGAGGGATGTGCCGGTAGCACCGAGGGCAGAGGGATTGCCGGTAGCACCGAGGACAGCGGCCCCGGCAGCACCGAGGACAGCGGCGCTCCGCAAGGACGCGGCGCCCGTGTCCCTGCCAGCATCCGGCCCTGTCGCGCCGGGCCCTGGGAGGATCCGCTCCTGCCGCACCAGGTCCTTGTAAGGGAGCCTACATCCCCCCTCTAGGGCTCTGTGAAGGTCCAGTATTGCTCCAACAGATCCTCCCAGCAGGCAGACCTGCTACCGCCCCGGCAGATCCCGGGAGAATCCGTGACTGCCCCACAAACCCCCCGCGAGCGCTGCTGCCACCCCGCCGGGTCCCCGCAGCCCCCGCTGCTGCCCCAGCCCGCCTCGGGCCTTGTTATGGCCCTGCCAGGACCCAGAGCTGCTGCCGAGGGTTTCGGGTGGCAGAGCCGGCGGAGCCAGCGGGCAGCGCTGCCTGCTCACACTCACACACCCACGGGATGGAGACACGCACACGCGGAGCCGCACAGCCACGGGGAGCGGGGGGGCTGGCACAAGCCACGGCTCACACTCGCACTGACATACACACACTCACACTGACACACTCACACTGACACTGACATACACACACTCACACACACACACACACACACACACACACTCTCACACCGGCGCAGGCGCCGCCGTTGCCGCCCGTGCCCGCGCTGCCGGGGTTGCATCAGCTGAATTCATTAGCCCGTCTATTTTTACTAATGCAGCAAATCAAGTCTCTCTCCGGGCGGAGCGGACCCGCCCGCCGCGGAGCGCCGTGCCGGGAGCGCCGTGCCGGCCGCGCCGCCGAGCCTTTTGTCCGGTGCCCCGGGGATGCGCGGCCCGCGGCTCCCCGGCCGTGCCCGGCGGTCCCGGCGGCTCTGCCCGGGGCACACGGCGGCGATAAAGGCATCCCGCTGCAGAGCTCCGCCGCCTGCAGCCGCCCCGGCTCCGGTGCCGCGGGATCCGAGCACCGGCCGGGCTCTGAGCGGTGTGCCAGCCCAGCCCCCGGCCGCGGCCCTTCTGAGGGCTCGGGTCAGCCAGCAGTGCAGAGCGGCCGCTGAGGACTCTGGAGGCTCCCCCGGAGACGCAGGGCAGCGGTTGTGTTTGGGGAGGGACGTGCTGTACCTGTCTGTGTGTGCGTGCACAGGTGGATTTGTGCTCCAGCCCTGCACTCACACAGGTGAGCTGGGACAGAGGCTCGGTGCGCAGCTCCCAACTCAGTGCTGCTTTTCCTTGCTGCACAATCCAGGAATTCAGGCTAGGGAAGGGCTTTGCCTCTCCACCTGGCCCTGGAGACCTGCTGGTTGTGTGATGGGAGCTGGGAAACTCCCTCCTGGGGCTGCCCTGAGGGCTCCTGGGGAGACCGAAGGGCTGAGCGCAGCTTTCCCGCTCCCCTGATGGCTCCCAGCGGTGCCAAGGAGCTCATCCCACCTCGCGGTGGCCAAAGAGGCTTAGGAGGGGCTGGGAAATGTCTGGTTTGAGTCCCATTGCCGGGGGCTGCTCTCAGTGCTGGGCAGACTGGTGAATTCAGCTGGCTTGCAGCTCATGGCCAAGCAGAGGAGCTGTCACGATAGGAACCCCCAGCACTGCAGTCTCTCAGGTCCCACAGAGGTCAGGCTCAGGCTTGGCAGGGTCGGCCCCATCCCCAGGGAGTTGGGAAAAGCTGGCTGAGGTGCCAGCACCAAGCTCTGCTCAGGTCCCCACCGCTTTGGGCTTTGCTGAGAAAACTGGGAGCACTGGAAGCACTGGGAGATGCAGCTCCTGTCCCCCAGCCCTCAGCCCTCCAGCCCCAAGCCTGGTCGAGCAAAACTTCCAACCAGCAGGGTTCCCTCTAACCACCCAGCCCCTCCTGCAGCAGCTTTCACTTCTCTGCTAAACCCCCTTCTCCCAGACACAGCAAGTTCTGACCTGTCCCCTTTTTCCAGGCAGCCCCCTGTCCCCTTGGGAGGAATCCCCCACTCTAGAGGAGTACAGGGGGGACAGGTTCAGGGCAGAGCTGGACCCCTGCTCCCTTCCCCTCCAGCCTCCTCTGGGCATCTTCACTCTCACCCCATGGAAGGATGCTCGTGCTTAAGCCAAGCTGGTCCCTGCTCCCCCTGCCCGAGGCAAGGAGAAGAGGGAGCAGCTCCTCATGTGCTGGATCCTACCCAGCCTGGCCTCCTCTCGCTGCAAGCCCAGCCAGAGCCCAGTGACAGCTCCCAGCGTGTCCCAAGCCCTTCCTCTGCCCCTCCTGGGCCCGGGAAGGGGTGAAATGCAGGATCCCCTGAGGAGCCAGGAGAGCTGTCTCCAAGCACAGGGTGTGGATGTGCTCCTGAGGTGCTGCTGGGACTTGTGCCTCCCCAAACCCTTCATCCCTCCAGACACGGCGACAGCCACACAAGCACTGATGCCCCTTTGCCCCTGGGCTCAGGGATCCGGCTGGGAGCTGGGGTAAAGCAGGGGCCCTTGGCACGAGGCTGGTGGACACCAGCCGGGCAGTGCCCAGCCGTGGCACTCCTTGATTTGGTGTGCTGTGGGTGCTAAATGTCAGCACGGGCTCCAAAAAACATCAGGCACCATTCTGATCCTGCTCCCAGCACAAGCCCCTGGCCTTCTGCTTCTCTTGGCCAAGAGCTGGGCAGGGATCACCCCTCCAGCAGGGAGAAACCCTGGAAAAACAGCTTCTGCTGGCCTGTGCCCTCCCCAAACCCTGTCCTCTTCAGCCCCGAGCTCCTCCCGTGAGCCGCCAGCCCTGGAGCACCCAGCACACGTGGCTGGTCCCCGTGGCAGGTGGGCAGAGGTTGGCAGGGGGTGGGATGCTGCCAAGGAGCTCTGCTCGCCTGCACACCCAATCCTGCTCCCTCCCACACCAGCAGCACCCACTCGCCTCCCAAATTCCCTCTCTCCTCTCCGGTGCGGCTCCTCCTGCACAGGCACTGCTGGGGAGCAGCAGGAGATGGAGATGGGGACACAGCTACAGGCAGGACGATGTGGCTTTGCCATGGAGCTGCCAGATGCTGAGGCAGGCACAGCTTAAATCTGCAGAGCAGAGGGGCAGGATCCAACCTCCCAACTCCAAGTGCTCCCACTCCAGCTGTCCTTCTGCCTGGCCGCCTCCCCACAGGATGGTCAACACGGCTGTGACCCCACTGGAGGGGACAAGGGAATCCTTTCCCCACTCTCACCTCACCCTGGCCCAAGTGAGGGTCACTCCTTCCCCAGGAATCTGGGGAGGCAGGTGGGTCCCACTGCCAGGGGTGCTTGTCCTGCTGCTCCCCTCTGCCGTGGAGCTGCTGGCACGGGGAGGGGAGCAGGCAAAGGGATCGATGTGGGGGAAGCCAGCTCGGGGAAAAATAGATATCTAGCTCATTAAAAATGGATGCTTGAGCGAGTCCTCCCCACTCCAAAGCCACCTCCCTCCCTCTTCCTGGTAGCCGGAGTGAAATCAGCACCCAGCTTCCAGAGGAGGGGAGATGCCAGCACGGCACAGTGCTCGCTCTGTGCTCGCTGCTCCCAGCCTGCTCTGTGCTGAGCCCCTCGGGGTGCTGTGCAGGGGCCCCGAGACCCCCCCAGACCCTGGGCAGAGGGTGGGCACGGAGAGGGTCTGCCAGGAGAATCCCTGCTGCAGGGACTCCATGCTCCGGCCTCCCCTGCCCAGGCACTGCCACGTCCCACCGGCACCGGCAGGTGCCCAAGAAGCAGAGCTACCTCAGCCCAGCGCCCCATGGCACCCCTGGACCCCCACATGGCCCAGACCTTGGGGATATCTAGCTGGTTGTTGCCAGAACCCCGTGCCTCAGTTTCCCCCAGCCATGCTCAGCCCCAGCCATTCCGTGGGGTCGAGTCTGCCTGGTCCCCGACCCCACGCCCTGATCCCTCTGCCCGTCCCCATCTTCTGCCCCACCAAAACAAACCCCGGGTTCCATCGTGGGCTGATGGGAGATCCATGGCCCCGTGCTGCTCTGCAGGACCTGCTGTGGAGCTCGGCCCCATCCCGGCCAGGGCCTTCCCCTTCCTCCATCCCCTGGGCTCTGGGAATGGGGCAGGCTGCCCCTGTCCCCCCATCCCTTGGCTGGCGTCACCTTGCATCCACAGGAAGCCACACCGAGGTTTTGGGGCGTTTGGGTGTTTGAATGCAGCATCGGGGATGCCAGCGGTGCCACCAGGGAGGACAAGAAGAATTTTAGAGGCTGGCAGCAGAGGTGGAAGGGGGAAAGCATCAAGCCCACACTGGGGAGACCGTGTCCTTACAGCGCGATCCCCTCGCACCTCCATCCCAGAGCCGCCCTGCGTCCCGCGGGACCCACCTGGTCCCCTTTCCTGCCTCTGCCCACCCGCTGATCCGGCCATGCCGGGGCGGGGGGGACACGCAGCACATCGCCTCACCCCCCACACCCCCTCCCCAGAGCGAGGGGGCGGAGGGGGCAGCATCACTGGGGCGGGGGAGGGTCACACCGACCACCATCCTCTGCTGAGCTACCGGGAGGCGGGGGCGGAGGGGGGGCACCGGACCGGAGCCCCGGGGCCGGGCCGGCTCCGCTGCCGTTATATAACGCGGCTCCATGATGCGGGATGCGGCTGGGGGTGGTTGCGGTGCCGGTGCCGGTGCCGGTATCGGTACCGGTAGAACAGGCACAGGCACCGACCCCGGCATCGGCATCGACCCCGGCACCGGCTTTGTGTCGTGAAGGGTTTTCCCGAGCGGCTCTTACCTCCAGCCCCGTCTCCCGAAGCTCATGCCATGCCTTGTGCCCGTCTTCTTTCGGTTGCAGCAAAAAATCCCACCAGGAAGAAAGCGGCGAATAATCCCCCCAAAAATCCCCGTTGGCAAAGGGGCCGGATCCCGCCCGGCCCCCGCCCCAACCCCGCGAAACAACAGGAAAAATAAGCGGGGAGTGGAGGGGGGGAATGGGGCCGGATCCGGATCCGGGGGGATGGAGAAGGGGGGCCCTGCTGCCAGCCAGCCCAGGGAGCTGGGAGCACACGCACACGCGCGTTTGCACACACGCACACGCGTGTCACCGGCGGAGGCTGTTAAAGGGACACGGCCACCGGCAGCGGGAATGGAGCGCGCCGGGAAAGCAGCGGCGGCGGCGCCGGGAGAGGCGAGGTGAGGGCGCGGGACACCGGGAACGGTGCGGGGGGAGCGGGCAGGGCTGGGCTGGCAGCGGGGGGTGCAGGGAGAGGGGCGGTGGGTGGGTAATGCAGGGGTGGAAGGATGGGGGATGGAGGGAGCGATGGAAGGATGGAGGGGGGATGGAGAGGTGGAAGGATCGAAGGAGAGATGGAAAAATGGAGGGAAGAATGGGGAGATGCAGGGAGGATTGGAGGGAGAAATGGAGGGGTGGAAGGATGAATGGAGAGGTGGAGGGATGGAGGGAAGAATGGAGGAATAAGGATGGAGGGGTTGGAGAGGATGGAGGAATGAAGAAATGGAGGGAAGAATGATGGGAGGAAGGGATGGAGAGGTGGAAGAAGAAATGGAGGCATGGATGGAGGGATTGAGGGAGGGATGGAGGGATGGGGCGGATGGAGAAATGAAGGGAGGGAGGGTTGGAAGGCTGAATGGTGGGATGGACGGGAGGCTGGAAGGACAGACAGATGCTTGCTCTGGTTCTCTCCCCAGCAGGGCATGGCAGGCTGGAGATCCTGGTGCAGATGCTGCTGCAGACCCCGCTCAGCCCGGCAGCCACCTCAGGCTCTGCTGACAGCCCCTGGGGCACAGCGGTGACACCGGACGCTGCCCCAGCACCCCCAGGGGCAGCAGGCACCCAAGCCAGGCAGCTGTGCCCACATCTGGGGGGGAATCACCTACCCAAGCCACATCTGGCACTGCTGGGCTTGTCCCACTGCTGTCCCCCATGCCCCAGCAGCCCAGCTCAGCACACACCCACCCCCCCCCCCCCCCCCCCCCCCCCCCCCCCCCCCCCCCCCCCCCCCCCCCCCCAGCTTGGGCCCAGCTCCACCACTGCTCCCCAGACTGGAGGGAACTGGTGAGCAGCCACATTTAACCCCATCCTCTCTGCCTTCCCCTGGCACGGCCCCACGTGAGCAGCAGGTCCGGCCCTGGGGAGGCTGAGGGAGCTGCCTGCATCCGGAGCCTGCCTCCTGCTTCCATTATTTATAAGGCAGGTTGGGTTTCACACGGGCAGCTGGGAGGGGGCTTCGGGGAGGAGATTGTGCACACACTCACACTCACACTCACACTCACACCCTCAGCACACCCTGCCCAGCGGGTGACAAATGCTGGAGGGGACAGTGGCTGCAGGGCTGTGTGGATCCATGGCCTCATCCAAGTGCCACGTGTGTCCTGAGGAACTGCAGGTCTTTCCCCCACAGTCCCTTGTCCCCCCAGCAGTGTCCTGTCCCTCGTGGTGCCTGCTCCCCAAGGAGGGGTTCCAGGGGAACTGCCCAGCAGCAGCCTGGGAGCGAAGGCTGTGGTGCAGCCCTTGGGGATGCACTCTGCACCCAGAGCAGGCCAAGTGCCACTGGGGCTGGCAGGCACTGGGAGGCACTGGGAGGCACTGGGACCTGCGTGGTCCCTGATGTCCCCTTGGTCCTGGCACAGGCCCGTTGTCACTAACCCCTGCCACCTCCAGGACTCAGAGGGGACAAGTTGTTGCAGCCCCGTGTCCTGGGGACATTTTCATGCCAGGAAAGCTGAAAACTCCTTCAAGGGGAGTTCATCACTGGCAAAGAGGAGACTCCACGTGTGTCTGTGTCCCTGAGGAAGGGGACACAGCAGGGGTGCCACCAGTGCAGGAGGTACCCGCACCCTGGTGCCTGACGTGGGGTGCTGCTCACCCCACCTCACCCCACAGCCACAGGTCACCAGCACAAGCCTCCTGAGCCCCGTTGCCCCACACGGCCTGTCCCCACGGCGCCGGGAGCCCGGGCCGAGCCCCGCCGGTGCCGCGGGAGCATCGCGGGGCCGGCGGGAGCGGCGGGGCCGGCTGGACCGCAGTGCGCCGGGGCCGTCGCCGCAGCAACCGCCGTCGCCTAGCGCCGCTGTCTCCCGGTAACCCGTCGCCTAGCAATGGGGGATTTTTCACAGCTCGGGATGAAGAGTTGAAAGTTATTTTTAGCCCGGGCTGCGAATCAATAGGCAGCTCCATTCGCTGCCCCGCAGGATGCACGGACGGGGCCCGGCGGTGGGGGGGAGCAGGGGGGTCTGTCCAGCCTGGGCTCACCGCGCTGCCAGCCCCGGGCTCGGCCCCTTCCGTGCTGACCCCGCCGGGCTCGGAGCTCTTCCCTGCCAAGGATCTGATTCCCCTTCAGGTTCCCCCCATCCAGGCCACGTGCGGGTGAGGGTGGGCGAGGACGTGGCGGCTTTCAGGCTTCTGTGGGGATCCTCACATGGAGCTGGGGATGGCCACACTGCTGCGGGACCATTGGGACTCTTCTCACTCTGGAGACCCTCATTTTATTGTGGGGACTCTCAGCCAGCCATGAGGACTCTCCTCCAGCTGCTGGGAGCCTCATCCTTTCCTGGGAACCTTCTCCCACTAGTGTGGACCCCCATCTCGCCATGGTGACCCTCACCTTGCCATGGTGACCCCCACCTTGCCATGGTGACCCCCACCTTGCCATGGTGACCCCACCTCGCCATGGTGACCCTCACCTTGCCATGGTGACCCCCACCTCGCCATGGGATCCCCTCCTTTCCATGTGGACCCCTGCTTGCACATGTGGACCCCATCTTTGCTTTGGGGATCCCCACCTTGCCGTTGGGGACCCTTGCCCTGCCTTGAGGACCCTCCCCCGTGTGTCCCCTCCCGGCAGCCCCCTGAGGTCCCCAGGGCACATTGCCACTCTCAGGGACACCAGCCTGGGGGTCTGGGCACTGCGAGGGGACAGAGCCAGCGGGGTTCCATGGAGAGGAGCTCCCTGCAGGTCCCCAGGCATGGGCTGGGAGCTGAGCTGAGGCTCCTGAGCTATTTTTTAAAGACAAGGTGGGTGCCTCCCACAGCCGCAGCTCCTTCGGGTGCTCGGCGGGGCGGGCGAGCTCCCCACGCAGCCGGGGGGGATGGGAAGCTGTGTGGGGACAGGCTAGGGACCCCCGGCCCCTGCGCAGCCCGCCACGGTCCCAGCTGCCCCAAATGTCCTTTTTGCCTTTCCAGGAGGGTTTTAGCCTGGAGTATTCCTGCCCGTGCCACCACCCACTCGCGGCACAGCGTGGAGGGTGCCCAGAGCCACCCCCCGAGGACATTTTGTGGGCAGCATGGATGTCCCAGGGACCTGCCAGAAAGTCCAGGAGTGGTGAGGGGAGCTGCCCAGGATAGAAAAACTTTGGGGTGACCCAAAGGAAGAGATAGGATCATCAAAATCCAAAGGAAGCTGCTGCATGGAGCACGGAGCGCTCCACCAGTGGCAGATGGGTCTGGGACAGAGCAACCCTGGATGAGCCACAGCGGGTCCGGGGGGGACATGGAAATGCTCAGGGGGCTGGAGGAATCTGCCTTGTGGGGAAAGGCTGGGAGAGCTGGGGCCATCCAGCCTGGAGGAAACCTTCTGGTGATACCTAAGGGATCTTGGAAGGGTGACAGAGAGAGGCTTTCGCCAGGAGCTGTAGAGACAGAAGAAGGGGAAGCAGTTTTCAGCTGGAAGAGGGTGCGTTTAGATCGGATAAACGGAGGAAAGGCGTTGTGGGGGAGACGGTGAGAAGCTGGAGGAGGCGTGGGCGCCCCACGGGGCTGGAGCAGCCCGGCCCGGTGTGGGATATCCCCGCCCAGGACAGCGGTGGCACCGGGTGCTCTTCGGAGGTCCTGCTGGCCGAGCTGAAGCTCTGCTCCCCTGCGGGACGTGTTTTCCCCCAGCCCCACCGAGTCCCCGGTCCCCTCGCCGGGGGGCGGCGGTCCGGGCCGCCGTGCCGCGGTCACCAGAGGGCACTGCGAGCCCGAGCATCCCGGAGCGGCCCCGGGGCCCCGGGACACGCGGCAGGGACCGGCGGCAGCTCCGGGGGCGGCCGCACCCGGACCCCCCCCCTCCTCCCCGGTCCCACGGGGACAGCACCCTGCGCCGGCCGGGGACAAGGAGGGGCGGCCAGGGGACACGGTGGCGCTGGGGACACAGTCAGGGGACGGCCGCCAGCAGAGCTCCGGGCACGGCTGGCAGCCGGAGGTGCTCAGCCCCGGGGGCTGCTCCGCAGGTCTGAGGCCATTGCGGGGCCGTGCCCGGTCCTGCTCAGCCCCGGCTGCGGCGGCTGCTCCAAGGGGGCTCCGGGACCCCCCGATGGCCGTGCCCCGACTGCGGGGGTGCCGCATCCCGCGTGGAGGGAGGGAAGCCAGGGCTGGTGGCGCAGCTGGTGCCGGCGTTTCTCCAGTAACACCCAGTTAAGGTGGGTCGGGGGCTGTGGAGGGGGCAGGCTCACCCCGGGGCGCTGGCATTAGGGCAGACACTGCCATGTGCCTGCGAGGATGGTGGCACCGTGCCCCAGCTTCCTGCATCCCGGGGTGTCCCAAGGGAGCATCCCCGCAGGGTACTGAGCACGCCACTGGGCCGGGGATCAGTCTCGGAGGGGACACCAGAGCCTGGTGTCACCCCGCCTCTGGTGGCACGCCTCCCCTGGTGCCACCTCGCCCCTGGCACCTGGCCAAAGCCATTGGAGGGGTCCTTGCTTGGCTTTCCTGCCCGCCCAGCCGCGAGCCCAGCCGGTTCCACCTCCTCCCTGTGTCACCGGGTGGGCCCCGGGAGCGCGTCCCCGCCATGCCGGGGTCGCTGTGACCCTCCGGGCACAGCCAGACCCTCGACCCAGCCACCCTCCGGCAAACCCCCCATGGTGCTGGTGGGCTCAGCACGAGGGCCAGCGGGCAGACAGCCCCCACCCGAGCCCCGGCCAGCCCCCCGACACCCCGACACCCCGACCCGCTCCA